AATCTTCCCTTATTCCCCAAAGGCCACACACTCACGCATTCCTGGAAGGCACTCTCCAGAGCTCCGATCACCAAGTCTTCTGCCCTGATGCCCTTTTCCTCCACAAACTGAGGGTCACTGGGGCATACGCAGCGGCCACTGAGGTGCATGGGAGGCTGAGTGGCCACTAGGCCCTCTACCACACCTTCCAGCTGCCGGCGCAGGCAGGAATGCAGGGTGTTGGCAGCCAGGATGGCTGCTGCAGGACCGCCGTGCCCATCAAAAAGTGCCCAGTAATGGCCCGTCAGGAACTGCATGAGAAGGGCTCAGTGTCAGGTCCCGCCTGGCTTCTTCAGCTGTCCCCATGGCCCTGCTGGAACTAGGGCATGGGGCAGCAGGGCAAGAATCTCAGCCTGCAGGTCCTGGCGCCCGCCTGTAAGAGGGGCTCATGCTAGGCTGCGCGTACCTCCTTGGGGCACAGGGTCAGCCACTCTTGATCATCTTCAGCCCCAAACTCACATCGCCGGATGCACAGCTTCCCACAGGCAGCTTGATCCTCATTGAATTCAGATTTCTCTGCATTGATGATCCTGAGGCCGGGAAGTTTTCAGTGACCCTTCAGAGACACACCTATGTCCCCGTGGGCACAGAGGCCTGAGCTGGCACACAGAGAGAAGCCCTCCCCTTGAGGCAACAGCTCCCCAGTGCTGTCCCTGCGCACACCTGGACAACCACCATGTAAGTTTCCTAACCACTCAGTGGCCTCACCGCTAAGGTAAAGGTCAGGGCCCAGCTCCTCTGAAGCCTACCTGCTGACCCAAGGCTAGGAGGTAAGAGCGGGCTGCCTGGGGAGACCTGGGGCTCCCTCTCCCATCCCCTGCCCCATCTCAGCCCGAACCCTGACCCATACAACACAGGCCATACCCAGGGTGGGATGGGTGGGGTGGGGGTGTCTCCAAAGGCCAGAATGCTGGGACTCTACCGAGTCTCCCGGCCTCGTCTCGGAAGCCCCTGGGGTGCAGGTCCTCCTCGACCTCCCTTTCTCTGAGGGAGGCTGGAGTCCCAGAGAAAAGGCTGGGCTGGGATAGGGGGAGGTTGTCAGGGGTCCCGAGGTGAAGACAAGAAGGGGTTATCCTCAAGCGGGTGGGAGCCACTCACTCAGCTTAGCCTGTTTTCTGGGTGGGCACGGAACCCGGATGGCTCCGGCAGGGGGCCGGGGCGGGGCCGGGGCCAGGGTAGCCGGGGGCGGGCACTCACTCGGCGTAGCCTGCGTTCCAGGGCAGCGAGCGGCCCCGCGCGGGGCTGCGCACGGGCCGGGCATCCGGGCGGCGCGAGGCGTCGGCGGCGCCCGGGCCGGAGCCCGAGCCGC